AAGAGGAAGAACTTCATGTTGCCTCTCAGAAAAGAGTTTTTAACTGGCTTTGCAAACAAGCAACACAGACTGTCGGGATAAATAGTTGCTTATCCTGATTATTATGAACCCAAAATTAGAAAAATTCACAAGGAACTAAGGCACTACGAAGAAGATAAAGATACCGAAGGAGGAAAGGGGGACTTTGTAGATCCGGATGGTACATCAAATTATAACAACCCTCTCATGTCATTCCAGAATCAACTGAGAAACATTAAAGCCAAGAATGATAAAGTTTCATATGAAAATCAGAATCTCATAAACATTTAAAAAACAGGTTCTCATTGCATGATTTAAGACTTTATAAATAACAGGTAAAGAAACTGGAGAAAGCCCTTAAGAAAAATATAAAATTACAGGAACTCCTCAGGGAAGACAAATCTGAAAGCTTAGACAACAGAGATTCTGAGATCAGCAAAACAGAAATCTAGCGACACCCTGTTTGACCAGAAATACTTCAAGATCTTAACCAGCATTAACTCAATTATAAGTAATACAAGAGGTCCAACGGTAATATACAAACAGAGCAAACAGCCCTTCCAGAGTTATAATAAAGTTAGCAGTCAAGAAGGTAGATTTGAGCATCTTCCTCTCGCAATAGGAATGCGGGCAGACCAGCTAACATCTCTAAAGGACTTGTCTAGATCTCTGGAAAAACTGTCTTAGGAGCTGCTGCCTTGGCATAATGTGAAGTGATATGATAAGAGTGAAGGTGCCACTAAACTCGAAGATATTCTATTTATTGTCAATACCATTTTCAAAGAAGTTGAACATAAGAAAAAGAGTGATATGCCATGCCCTGAAACTTTACAAGTAATTGTTAATCACTTCAAAAGCTATCTGATGTAACATCTGTGTCTGGAATCTATCCTCAAATGAATGAAGTCTACACCAGGCTTGGAGAAATGAATAATGCTATGAGAAATATCTATGAGATCCTAGAACTAGATAATTCATCATCACTAAGTGTCCTGGTGAATACAGTTGGGAAATTGTGTAAAATAATTAATGAATATGTGGACAAACATATTCAACAGGTTTTGGGCACCCAGGATATCCAAAGTATTATCAATGAATTTTTTCCCCAGCCTTTTAGGCTTCTATACAGGATCTACTTCAGATTTTAGAAGTCAACAACTTGAATGCCATTATTCCTGAAGTAAAGAAACTAAAACTAATTATAAACTAAAGAAAATGAAACCTTCCTTTTTACTATGTAAATTTTATCTGTAATATATTTTCTTTATGATTGATGGAACAAGGGCTATATTTACTCGCATAAGTCACCTCTTTTTCCCACCTGTAGTAAACACTGGTGACATGGCTAATCTTCATTTTTCACAAAGTTAGTCTTTGATATTTTTAATTCCTATTTACCAAATAATTGTTACTCTCTCAGAATTATGCAGCATCATTTGGGGGATTGAACTCTTGAGTTTTCTAACTTTTCTTCAGCAGTTCCTGGCTTACAAGATTTAAGGAAAGCTGCTTATGTTTTGGAAACAGAGGGTAATGAAGTGTTAAGTGTTGGCATGGGGGTATTTGCCTTTAAGATTTCCTTTGAGATTTGAAATTTAGAGCTCTTAACATCTTTGGCCCAAGGGAAGTAGTACTGGACTTGTTGATGACATCAATTCTCTAGCAAGTTTGGGGAATGAACAATTCCATATCCCCCAAAAATCAGGGAAGGAAAGAAAAGGGAAGGGGTTTCAAAAAGAAGCTAAGAGAAGGCAGAGTTGTAATGCTGCCTAATTCTTTCTTTTCTCTCTGTCAGTGGCTAGCTGCTCCTTGAATATAACCTTGTATATGCCATGCCAAGGACAAAACATTCCATCTAGATAAACTCCTGTTGGCAGAAGCAATTGCAGTTTCAAATTGGATGGTAAAGGTCAGGGATCATAGGTGAAAAGCATTTTTTTAAACTTTCTTTCCATGATGGAATAAAAGAAATTAGTAAATAGGAAGATAACTACCTCAAGAAAGAGTGTGTTTGGGGAAGCTAGGTGGCACAGAGGATAGAGCTCCAGCTGACTTGAGTTTAAGTCTGGCCTCAGACACTTGACACTAACTAGCTGTGTGACCCCGGGTAAGTCACTTAACCCTGACTGCTTCACCCCCAAAAAAATGGGGGGAAAAAAAAGAAAGCATGTGTTTGAGAGCTCGATTGTGATCTATACATATATATATATATATATACATATATATATATATGTATATATATATACATATATATATGTATATATATACATGTATATATGTATATATATATATATATATATATACACACACACACACATATGCCTATATAGATGTTTTTAGAACATGTGACTGAAATAAGTATTTTATAAAAGTAAAAAAAAGAAATGATATGATAAGATGAGAAAAGATAGGCTGGTCAAAAGGTGAGGATAAGGGATGACAGGAAGACTGCTAGAGGGTTCTATTGAGACTTTCTTGTTAGCAGGAGAAAGTGAGGAAGGCCTATTGGGTAGATGGCCTGTGGCAAATTTATGAGAGCACATGGATCAGGGTCACACAGAATTGGGAAGCATGGATGGATAGTTATCTACATTGCTGGAAGGAACTTCCAAATTGATAACAGATCCACTTGAATATCTGGGTATCTATGGATACAGGATCTATAAAAATACAAAGTAAAACTACTCTGTTTGACATTTAAAGCCCTTCACAACCTGGCTCCAAACTATCTTTTCAGCCTTAAAATGCATCATTCCCCCGCATATACTCTATAGTCTAGGCAAAATTTGAATATTCTTATATGTGTGCTAACTGTCCCCTTAATAGAAAGCCTTGAGTCAAGGGATCATTTCTTTTTCGGTCTCGTATTACCAGCACTTAGCACCGTACCTGGGATATAGCAGATGCTTAATAAATGTCTATTAATTTACTAGACGAGGGTGGCATTTATTGATACCCCTCTGTCTGTGAAATTTGTGAACATTTCTGATACAGAAATCTCAAAAGCTGAAATGCTGGAGGTCTGACAGCAGAATTTCCCTGTCAGCATCACCCTGTTCTCTCCTTATATAGTACATATCTGTGGAGGCAGATAGGTGGCTCAGTGGGTAAGAGTGCAACACTTGGGAGTCAGGAAGACCTGAGTTCAAATTCTGACTATAAATACTAGCTGTGTGATCCTCAGGTTAAGTCATTTAGCCTCTTGCCTCAGTTTACCTGCCTGTAAAATGGATTGATAATAACAACACCTATTTTACATGTTTATTGTAAGGATTGAATAAGATCACACACAAAGGGCTTTGAAAACCTCAAAGTTCTATGAAGAGGATGGCTATTATTATGGTGCCTGAAAACAGGAATTATTAACCTAGGGTCTGTAAACTTAAAAAAATTACAATAGCTGCATTTCAATATAATTGGTATCCTTTGTAACCCTATGTATTTTTATTTTGCATATTTTAAAATATTATTCTGAGAAGTGGTCGACAGGCTTCACCAGACCGCCAAAGGAGTCCACATCACAAAAAGACAGAGGATCTCCATTTTAAAAGGATTTACAAAAACACATCATTTTTATTAAAAGACTAAAATTTTCAGCTAAGTCTCCTGGCCTTTGTGACTAAGGCTGTTCCCCAAGATTTGAATCTACAATTCTGGCTACCAAAAGACAATTATTTTTAAAACTCCAGCCTTGTGCCACTTGGTATGCACTATTATTATCATCCCCAAAAGTACCTATTTGTGCTTGCTGCCCAGCATTTTCTGCACAGCCATATGGCCTAGCCTAACCATTTTCACAACATCCAAATAAAGTACTTCAGATTTCCTTACAGTTTTATAAATTTCAGACCACTGGCACAGTTTGTACCCAAAGCATCACTCACCAGTTGGTGCACAAAGGAGAAGCTTATTTAGGGTATGCTGATGTTAAAGAACAGACGTGTTTAATGATGTGTTCCAAGAGTTGGCTAACAAATTTACCAAAAATAAGCACAGATAAGTACAGAGGAACATAGACTTACAGCTACAAGGGACCTCAGAGATCACTGTACAGATGAAATTGACATAAAATGTTTATATTTTCCAAATCTGATTTGTCTCTGAATTCTCTCTTCCTTCCACTTTTCAACATGAATCAAACCAATCTTGGGGTATGTATTTACACAGGCATTAAAACGGCAAAACAAATAAATTACAAATTTCTCTGGAAAAATCTTTAAAAAAAAAAACAAAACAACTTACAATCAGGGACAAACTTAGTTTTCAAATTAGTGACTTAGAAAAGTAATTGGTTCTGCCTGTCACTGAATTTGTAAAAAGCTCCCAGGTCAAAATGCATCTGTGAAGGTATAATTACATCAAATTTGTTTGCTGGTACCTCATCATGAATCTTCTGTTTTAGCAAATCCCATATTAAAATAAAAAGTTAAAGAGAATTGTCTACCTGTACATTATTGCTGCTTTTCTCTATGTTTTACTGTAGTCCCAAGTGATTTTGTTAATGCAAAATAAAATAGAAAGTATATATACTATACATTTTTCTGGAAAAATAAATGAAGCTATATAGAATGCAGATGTTAAAATTGTTATTTCAACACTGGCATTTACATACCTGCTTACGTCCAAGTAGAACTCTATGAGGTCAAATGAACTGATGCTTATAGGCCTTAAGAAATATGGCTAATTTAAAAAAATAATCCTACCCAATTTTCTAGTGGGCTGCAGTCTGAGGACAGAAGATGAGGAAATTAAGTAACCATTACATATTCTTACATGGTTCAGTTGGAGTACGCCAACTTTATATTTCTTACAAGAGAGAAATTCAAATTACACTAATTTGCATGATTTAAGTTTTGGAGGAGTCAAATATTTTCTTGTGCTATGTGCAAGGCTGTGTGTGCTAAACTAAAGATGCCAAAGGACTGAGACAGTGTCTTCCAACAACCCTAAGATCTCTCTCGTTATGATTTTCACCAACTTACCTTTTTGTGATAAATGCTACAGAGTCCTCTCTCTATGTCAGGCAATTTGCACAGATGATTTTGTATGTGACCAAACACACTGGACCCAGAGATGAGAATCTCTGACACTGCATCAAGTCGGGCATTTATTTCCCTGTTAGAGAAGAATGATTGCAGTTATCTAAAAAACCTCCTGAAACACCCTGCTCCCTCAGAATACAGGTTCTTTCCAATGTTACACAATTGGGACTTTAAGAAATTCCACAGTATGTTAGACATCTTTAAAAAAAAAAAAAGGAAGATATGGGGCAGCTAGGTGGTGCAGTGGACTGCACTGGCCCTGAAGTCAGGAGGACCTGAGTTCAAATCCAGTCTTAGACACATAACACTTACTAGCTGTGTGACTCTGGGCAAGTCACTTAACCCCAATTGCCTAGCCCAAAAAAAAGGAAGACTGGTATAAAATCAGCCTTGCAGTGAAATAAAAGAGAACCTCATAGGTCATTTGCTTTGCTAGGGACAAGGATCTTTATCCCTCTACTCTTTAATTACCATTTAATCAAAGAACATGGAAAATCCATAGATATATCTGCATGGGGATATGGTAGTGATTATCCTAATTGAAGTGACTGAACAATAACCATGAAACCATCAAACAATTAATTTGATTCATTTTTTGGTGAATAGATTGCTTGACTAAACCTCACAAAAATAAAAGAAATTTAAAGCTTGAAGGGACCTTAGCTATAATATAATCCAACCTACTCAGTTTAAAAGGAAGATGGGAAGAGAAGGGAAGGGAAGAAAAGGAGAAGGGGAGGGAAGGAGAGAATGAGCATTTATTAAGTGCCTACTTTACAAAGATTATCTCATTTGATCCTCACAACAATTCTTCAAGGTAGGTACTATTATCCTCATTTTTCAGTTGAGGAAACTGAGGCAAACAGCCCTTAAATGACTTGCCCAGGGCCACACAGCTAGAATGTATCTAAGTCAGGGTTTCCTGACTTCAGGTCTAGTGCTCTATGTAATGCACCAATAGAGGAAATAAAAAATTAAAGTCTTTGAAAGGTAAGTGATTTACTCAAAGTCATGTAGCTTACAGAGGCACATCTGGGACTGGCACCCCATCCTCCTAACTCCTTGAGGGTTAGGACTCTTTCTAATAAGCTAAGCACCATGTTGTTGTTGTCACTTTGTCTTCTTTGTACATATAAGCATTCATTCAATAAATATTTATGGAGTGACTATATAGTTCCAAGAAGTACATGCAGCAGCCACACCCTGATAAACAATCTTGGCAGACAGGCTGAACCAAGTTTAGGGTCACCAACAAGCCTCAAGCCCATCGGTGAGTTAGGGGGGTGTCTACCCCAAGCATATCCACCCCAAGCACATGAAAGCTTTCCCCGGTGGAATGGGCGAATGACAACAATTTGTTCCAACAACTACGAGGGCAGCTGACACAGGCGCTGTGGCGCACTTATGCCTCGGTCAGATGTCGAAAATGCCAAGGTCATCCATTGCATCCAGGGCCACTGCTAGTCCTCTTGACTTCTGTCCTACCACTGGACTTCAATGACTCAGGAAGAGAAAGTGACTTCTCTTATATAGTTATAACGACCATGCGCAATTCTGCCTCACTTAAACCCAATTTACAAGCAAGTCAAGATATCACCGTGATGTCACTGGTCCTCTTGAAAACAAAGGATGAACAATGGAGTACCCACTGTGTTTAACATACATGTTCCCAGAACAGGGCTACATGGTGACTTTGGTAGTTTTCTAATTTAAGCAGGAAATATAAGCAATTGAATCCCAAGACACTATCAAATTAGTCTTCAGCCAACTCACTATGTGACCTCCAACCTACCAGTTTGGTTTTATCTCATACTACTCCTTTTCACATATTCTATTTTCCAACCACATTGGATGCCTCTCTGCCCCCATTTTTGCTCTGACCTCTCCTATTGCCATACCTTTGTTCACACAATACCTCGTGCTTAGAATGGATTATCCATCATTTCCCACCTGGTGAAGTCTCCCTTCATCCTTCCTTTCTTCCTCAAGCTCAAGTGCTACTCCTCCATGAAGCCTCCTTTGCTTCTGGTAAATTTTCAGTATGAATGAGCACTTACACCTCAGAATCGCTAAAAATCATGGTTTGATTGATTGTTCTGTGGACTGTCTAGACTTAAGAAAGTGTTAATAATGCAGATTAAGCTTGAAGTGAGTATAAACTTTTTTTTTCTGGAGACAGCCTAGCTGTAAAACATTTACCAGCTCATCCCTGTATTGCTCTATAAATGTTACTTAAGTTTGGTAGAAATGCAGTAGGGAACAGAGGGAATGAAGTAATAACCAGACTGGAGGCATTTATGGAGCACTTCAAGGTTTGCAAAGTGCTTTAAATCCATTATCTCATTTAAGCTTCAGGACACCTCTGCCTTCCTCAACTTTCTCAATGATCTTCTGGGCTGTCTCCTTCAATCAAGAGGCCAATCAACGAGTATTATTAGGTAACTACTATGTGCTGGAGATGGGAGATGGAGTGTCCCATTATGCATTAAAGGGAGAGAAAAGGTCAGTTTGCCTGGACCACAGGAATGAGGGGGAAAGTAACGTCCAGCAAGGATGAAAAGACAAGCCTCTGGAGTTGAATGGGCAGAGTAGTCACATTTATCTTACTTTTCCTTGCCTCAGAGTTGTTTTTGTGCATATCTCCCCTCCCTCTTTAGAATTTAAGTTCCTCAAAAATAGGGAATGTGGCAATTAATAAGTGTCTGCTGAATGAATAAGTAATCCTGGGCATGTTAGTTCATCTCTGGAGCTCAGTTTCTTCATATGTAAAGTTAGGAGGCTGAACTAGACAATCTCAAAATTCCCTTCTAGTTTTAACATTTTATGATTCTGTATACCCAACTTGATTCAATTTATTAAATTTACTGAAAGCCTATTACGTGCAGGACACTGACTAGATCACGGGCATAACAAAGACAAAAACAAAGCAATTCATACTTTCAAGGGGTAGGGTGAGACAAGAGGGACAATATATTAAAAAGTAAATATAAAGAAATTTGGAAGAAGGGGAAGAGCACCAATAACAAAGAGGAGAACAGTAACCTACAGAAGCAGCATCTGAGTAAAGCCATGAAAGGAGAGAAGGATTCCAAGCAGTGGAGATGAGAAGGAAGAACATTCTAATGGGGAGACAGACAATCTGGGCAGATGTGTGCAGACAGGAGATGGAAAGTATTGTACCAGGAACAGGTGAGCTTAGAGACAGACTTCGTAAGAGTGACTGATGTTTAACTGGCCTAAAAAAAGATAGTCTGAAGTCAGTGTCAAGAGCTTTAAATGCTGAAAAGAGGGTTTATAGGAAGGCAAGCCCAAATAATAGACTGTATCTGCTGATGAAGGACCAGTCTGGCTAAGTATGTCAAAGCTTGTCACCAAAAGTTTGACCATTGGGTGATCAAATTCATAGCCACAGGTAAAACCCATTCGGATTAAAATCCGAAAAGCTGAGAGTCACAGGACTAAAAGCTGGACGATTAAGTTTAGAGATCCCAGTTCAGCCCCTTCATGTTCTAAAGGGAAAACTGAATTAGGACCAGTTCTAGGCTTAGCTGGGCAGAGAGTGCTGGGCCTGGAGTCAGGAAGACCTGAGTTCAAACTCAGCCTCAGATACTTAGAAGCTGTGTGAGCCTGGGCCTGAGTTTTCTCATCTGTAAAATGAGCTGGAGAAGGAAATGGCAAACCGCTCCAATATCTTTGCCAAGAAAACTTCAAATGGGGTCACACACAGTCAGACATGACTGAAAGAACTATAGTTATCTCTTCCATATCACAACTTTCCCCATCAGGGGATATATTGCAGTTTGGCTTAAGAAATTAAATGGAATTTTTGGGGAGTTTTGCAGAAGCCACAGATGACACACAAAAGCCAGCAGATGATACAGAAAAAGTTTAGAAACTCAGAAATGCATAAAATATATGCATAGTATTGTATAATATCAAGAAGAAAAGGAACTCCACGAAGCTAGAAGACTTCTCTGGTACGAAGGGAAGGCCAAAAAATTTTACATGGATTTTCCAGATGGCAAGGGTGCAATGCCCCTTCCTGCCCCCACCCCCTGCAATGTGGAAGGGATAATTATAAACAACAACAACAACAACTAGGTCTTAAAAGTTAATGCTGGGTTAACAAGGCTTAATGAGGAGTAGAAGGGGAGAGGACAAAAATTTAATCCTGTTAAGGGGACAATACCTGCAGTACAACATCCTTCATAAGGTTTGTGTGGCACAAACAGAACTCTGGAAGCCTAATAATGCTCTTAACTAGCCAGTGACCAAAATTTATTTTTTGTTCCTGTGAAATTTATATCATTTTTATAAATGTGAACTTGCAAGGTCAGCCTTCGAAAGGCTTTCTGTTGCAATCTGCTGGGTCCCCTGTTCCATTCCCATTTATCCTCAAGTAAAGAAATCATTTTACCTCAGACAAGAGTGATCAGATAAGGATAAGCCCCATCACTGCTATCAGTGCTTGCTAACAAAAGACTGTCCCTCTGGAAGACCCATGAGCCCCAAAAAGAAACAGACTAGCAGGGGACCACAACAAAGGTCAGCTCTCCAGGGAACACAGATGACAAGATACCCTGAGTCATGACTGAAGTTCCTTATCCTGAGCTGGTCACATGAAACTCACATGGCAAAGGAAGAAAGGCAAGCTTCTCACAGCCTCAGCATGGGTGGTCTCTTTTCCCACAAAGGACAGGAGAGCTACAGAGTCACAGAATTGGGCACAAACTTAGCAACTCTGCAGTTTTCACACTATTAATTTCCTCATAGTAGTGGTTAGCCCACAATTGGATCTGTTACCATGAGGGTCAGTGTCTTGGCCCCATGGTCCAAATAGCCAGAGCTCACATAGACAATATCTTCTTATTCAATTATAACTTTTTTTTTTTAGTGAGGCAATTGGGGTAAAGTGACTTGCCCAAGGTCACACAGCTAGTACATGTCAAGTGTTTGGTCTGAGGCCGGATTTGAACTCAGGTCCTCCTGACTTCAGGGCCAGTGCTCTATCCACTGCTCCATCTAGCTCCCCCAATTATAACTTTTTTAAACCAAAAATGTAATTCTTTTATT